TACCAATGTCTGGAAACTGTACCGCGCTGTTCCAGGGCAGGCGTGATCTCGTAGATCCGAATCACCACAGATAGGCTGCATTCTTTAACACAATGGTTGTCTTGATCCTCGGTCTTAAGAAAAACAGAAATGCTTTTTCTCTTTTCCAAATCTCCTGTTACGCTCCCCCCCTTTCCCACACGCACTATTCAGTGCCATTCCCAAAAGAGGTTAGATTGATTTCATTGTGTGCAAGCATTTTGATTCGTAGGATAGATTTGTCATTGATCTATGTTGTCAAATGAAGAACACTATCTGCCTACATGCCCATCTCAATAAGTCGGTGCCTCGAATGAGTACGCATTTCGAATTCCGGGATTCCTCGTGCATATACCGCACCACGTTCCGAGACAGTATTATCATCATCATCATCATCATCATCATCATCATCAGCAGCAGCAGCAGCAGCAGCAGCATCAGCATCATCCTTTGCTTGTATCTTACTAGTTAATCGAAAGAATTATCATTACTCATTTGAAAAATCACCTGTCACATTGACTTTTCAGCACGTGCATTTGGTTTTCATTTAGTTAACGTCTATTGTTTGTTTTTCCAAAGTTTCTTTCACTTTCACTTGTCGAAGTTGCCTAATTCCACCCTATCGAATGTCTAAAGCTTAACTTCACTTGATTTGACTATTTGGCTAGTTTTACTTGGCAACCAGATTGATTGAAGCATTAACCAGTTGTAATTGTCATACTTGGTTTGGCCTTAGTTCGACCGGATTACTTTTTTTGGTGGAGGTGTTTTGATAGAACTGTATGATTTCAGCGACAAACATTATCAAATCCGAAATCCGTTCTCAGAAAAGTGCGATCTTGAAAACATTCCAATTTTGGAACCTATAATTTCTCACAAAATTCCATAACTTTCATAAAATGTATGACATGTTTCGACAGCCCTCGTTATGTTATTTCAAATGCAGCTGGTTGGGTAGAGTTATCTCATTCCGTTCCGGGTATATGATCAGAATGGTCATTTTGATTATTCAGTGCTTGGAGGTGTTCGTTCTGTGATTATATCACAGAGATGAAATATAACCGGAGAGTTTTGAACAAACCGGATGTGAATCTGGTCCACACTGATGCATATAGACTGATCAAGTATGATCGATTGGTGTTCCAGCGCGGCCACTTGAAGTATATAAATCATTTGAATTCTCGAAGATTACCATTAGATATAAACACACCCACATAATTGTAAAGGCCTGAGGATGAAGTTGCAAAAACAAACTTGTTCACTAAATTGTTTGGCCTTTCACATAAATTCTGTTGTAGATGATGCGACGGACGTAAGCAATCACTCAAGCGTTGATCGCGCATGATCCTCTGATATCCGCGTAGCATGGCTCGATATGACTTTTCAGAGGGTGGGGGGACGAACAGAGAGAGAGAGAGAGAGAGAGAGAGAGAGAGAGAGAGAGATAAGGGGAGACGCATACACGTGCTAGCAAGGCAAAGAGCCAAAATCTGTCGCGGGGATTGTGTGTGTGTGTGTTTGTGTGACCGAGACACATCATACGCTCGTCGCCCGCGTGCTTC